CCTGAGGATTGCAGGAACATCCAGTTGACGAGTCCCAAATAGGACGAAATGCGCATCCTGGATTCTACTGCTAGTCACCATCCACCAATTAACTCCTAATCAGAAGTAAGTCTCAGAATAAAGATAGGCCAGTACTATAAGGCTTCATGAGTTCACCTATTATGGATGCTTACTTGCACATTAAGCAATAACCTTACCAGTGTTAGTCCTAATTTTCCTGCCGAAAATATTTTAGTCTAGGTCTGCTTTATATCCATACTTTCCCATTGTTTTTTTCCTCATTCATCTGCGTTACTAGTGGAACGCAGATCTTTAAGCGTGAGACTTAGAATTTCAGTGGAGGTGGCATTATTATTACTGGGTGAGTTTTCGGTTCAACCTCCTGTCCTATTTAGACTTACTGCTGGCTAAGACAGGTATAGGAGAGCTTCGACTGGGAATCAGTGTCGGACCACACGTGAGGTTGGACAGCATTCTACTACTGAACTACCAGCGAATTATTTTTCTATTATTTTTATAGCTTCTCCTATTTATTGATGAACCAACTGAATTATTTCAGTTCACATTGACATTTCATAACAAATTCACACGAGTGTGTATGATTTGAAAACTTTAATGATCATACATAATACATACAGCTTTCTTCGTGTAACCAAATCTATTATAGGGCCAAATTTAACCAAATCTTATGTTGTCCTACAATACAGAAGTTTAGTTGTACCATTGATAAGGTTTTTCAATGTAAGAAATAAGTAAATATTTATCCACAGTCCCATACTGTGGGTGAATAAGGTGTTAAGGTAGTCAGTTGGGATTTGTTTTTTTTTCATTTAGAAATGACCATAAAGAAATGACTGAATGCTAAAATGATGCAGCAATGCATTTAACATCTCATAAAACAGGCTGTTATTATCGCATAGAAAACGAGCAGTGTACATTTGGGAAATAGTATTAACTGCCGTTCTGTTGTTTCTGTATCAGACTCAAATTCTACGATAAAAAATTTTGAGTGAACCGGATTTTGTCTAGACAGATCCTTCAAGATATATTGCACAGTTGTTTGATAACTTTTGATTTTAATTTCTCTCAGAGGCAGAGTGTCAGAATTGCTTTTCGTTTGAAGTATTCTAAAAAGCAATATCGACAGTTCTTGGTGGTTAAAAACGAATGCCATTTAACTGTCTTTTCTTGAGAAAGCTAACATTAAAAAAAATATAATTAAAGGGATGCAACTGTCAGGAGTTCTTATGATTTAAAACTGTAGCCTGTATTTAGTTGTGTGACTTTGAACTCTTATGTTTGGTGACCATTCATTCTGATTTACAGTTTAAATTTTGTGGTCACTTTACTCATGAGGTTGTTTTCAATTTGCAGTAACCATTTTTTCCATTAATCGGTTTGCCTTCTCTCAGAAATGGGTTCATAAAACGTTCTGACAGTGTGTGTGTCAGAACACCAAATCCAACTTATTGTCACTCTCCCTATTGTATATTCTAATGATTTTGATATAGATTGAAAGGCAAACTGCATCTGCAAAATAAAATAATTTTTTGTTAAGCCTTGCTTTCTGTAGGTATCTGGGATCACCAATGGAAAGAACTGCTCGGATTTATTGAGGTTCAGATCCTAAATAGGTGAAATTCTTCGGTATTTCTTGCGTACGAAGGAGTGACGTATTATATAAAAAACTTCAGGCTGACCGTCTTCACATATGGTTAGAATCCAATGAACCATGAATTCATGGAGTTCTAATGAGAAATCGTCATCAGTCGAGTTTATCACGTCCATGTCAGAACGGATAACAGCCAAATGAGTTAAGAGGCGTTAGTGCTATGTTGCTAATTGAGAGACTTGTGAATTCATTCGTCACTGAATTCCAATCCATTTGTCCAATGGTCAGTGTATTCAGCCCGTAAATTAAATGTTCAGGATTCGCTTACTGATGAGGTCACAAATACACGCTGCTCTTCAGGGTTTAATAGATTTCACTGATTCTTTAGATGACGTTGATTTTGTGACAAAATTCAAACTGAAATATTCAGGTGTTAACACGAATATATAAATGTAAAGGTAGTCTACTTTTGTCATCTATTTTAAGAAGAAATGTAACGCCATGATGTAATACACCCTCAGTTACGGTAATGTCACTCACTAAATTGTCAACGAGTGAATCAGTGATCTACTCCGGTCACCCGGAAGATGACCACTCACACACCGAGGGCGTGGCTATCATGATGTCACCAACGGCAACTAAGACCCTGATGCAATGGGAGGCGATCTCGCCCAGAATAATAACCGCCAGATTCAACTCCAAAGGAAGGAAAGTGTCAATTATACAATGCTATGCACCGAAAAACAACGCAGACCTCGAAAACAAAGAAGAATTCTACAGACAACTACAGGCAACAATGGACAATACTCCAGTCGGCGACATTAAAATACTAATGGGAGACACGAACGCCCAAATGGGATCAGACAACACAGGAAGGGAACTCATCATGGGTAGAGAAGCTCTCGGAGAAATGCATGAAAACGGAGAACTCTTCGCCGACTTCTGCGCCTTCAATGAACTAGTGATTGGTGGCAGCGTATACAAACACAAGGATATCCACAAGGCTACATGGCTGTCACCAGATGGGCGAACAAAAAACCAAATCGACTTCATCTCAATCTCAAGGAAGTGGAGGCGCAGCTTGCTGGACACAAAAGTAAGAAGAGGAGCAGACATTGGCTCAGACCACTATCTCGTACAAGGGAAAATCCAAATCGAATTAAAAGCTTTCAGAGAAGCAGGAGCTGCTGATAGACCACAAGCCAAGTTCAACACTCAAAAACTGAAGGACCAGGACACAAAGGACATCTTCACTGCAAGCATAAAAGACAAAGCCGAGACACAAATCAACACTGGCGAAGAGGTCAGCGTCGAAATGCACTGGAACAACTTGAAGACAGTATGGAGTCAAACATGCCTGGGAGTTCTAGGCAGAAAGAAGAGACAGGACAAACAGTGGCTCACTACGGACACTTGGAGACTGATAGAAGAGAGAGGGATGGTGAAACAAAAGATTCTCCAGTGCACCGATGAGCAACAAAAACAGGATTTGAACGCAAGCTACAATACACTGAACAAAAGAGTAAAGAAGAGTGCCAGAGAAGACAAAAGAAAGTACTATGAAACGATGGCAAGTGAAGCAGAACAAGCTGCAGGCAAAGGAGACCTCGCAACACTCTACCAAACAACAAGGTACCTATCGGGCAAAAGTTTGACACAAATCAAGCCGGTGAAGGATGACAATGGAAAGTCACTCAACAAAGAAGTGGAGCAAAGGAAACACTGGGCTGAACACTTCAAAAGACTCCTAAATCGACCACCACCTACAACGCGCCCAACAATACCAACAACGGAGACAGAGCTACTAGTGAACACCAACCTCCCGACGAAGTCAGAAGTCCTGAAGGCAATCAAGATGCTAAAAGCTGGAAAAGCAGCAGGACCAGATGGAATCCCAGCAGAAGCATTGAAAACGGACACAGAGACAACAGCGGACTTGATGACGCCACTACTGGAGAATGTGTGGAAAGAAGGCAAAGTACCCGAGGATTGGAAGAAAGGATACTTATTCAAACTGCGGAAGAAAGGAGACTTAAGTCAGTGCAAGAACTGGCACCGAATTATGCTCCTGTCCATCCCAAGCAAAATACTAAGCCACACCAGCCTGGAGAGAATCAAACATGCCCTGGATGAAAAACTTCGACCAGAACAGGCTGGATTCAGGAGAAACAAGTCATGCATTGATCAGATGGCATCACTACGTATCATCGTTGAACACAGCTAGGAATGGTAGTCAGCTCTCTTGCTCAACTTCATCGACTTTGAAAAGGCCTTCGACAGCGTCGATCGAGAGGTGATTTGGAAACTACTTCGCTACTACGGGGAGCCACCGACAATTATACATCTCATCCAACAGCTGAACGACAATGCTGCATGCCAAGTAATCCACAACAGGAAACTCAAGGAATCCTTCGAAGTGAGGACAGGAGTAAGACAATCTGGCTGCCTACTATCGCCAATGATTTTCCTGATTGCAGTAGACTGGATAATGCGACAAACAGCGGGCAACGAGGAAACAGGCATAAAATGGACTCACACAACAAACTTGGAGGATCTGGACTTCGTCAATGATGATATATGTCTGATTTCCCACAAACTGGAAGATATGCAAGCGGAAAGCAACAAGTTGGCAGAAGAAACATCAAAGATAGGACTTCATGTGAACATAGAGAAAACAGAGGTGATGAAGATTCCTGGGCCACACCACCAAAAGCAACAACAACAACAGACAACAATCAGCATAAATGGGAGGAACCTGAAAGAAACAACCTCTTTTACCCAACTGGGAAGCATCGTTTCAACCACAGGCAAACGGAACTGACGAGGATATCAAAGCAAGAATCGGAAAAGCAAG